GGCGGAACCTCCTCGGTTTTTTCTGACCGCGCTGCGTGGCATACCTTAATGAACCATTCGCCGAGCTCCTGTACAACCAAACTCGGCTGCATTTCGGCAAGCCGAGCTCAAGGTAGGTCGAGTCGGTTAGCCGTCGGTCTTTCTGCCGAGCTAATACATGAACCGTGGAACCCATGGAGACAGGCAGACATCTCGGCCGAACTCGCAGTAGACCGGCTTCTGCACCAACAAGCCAAGTAGCTTGGTCCCACATGCCCTGTGCCTTAACCAAGCAAAACCCTTTCGGACAGGCCCAAGCTACCACTACCCAATTGTGTTCGGCCCACAATTTGCCCGGCCATTACCACGGCCCAATTCAGCTCATAAATCTCCCTCTCAATTGCCCCTTAATTCCGTCCGCACAAGCGTGACTGGGATTACATGATCTGACCAGGGTAGACTCTTTCTCGGTCCTTAGTTTGCAAGACATCAACCGCGCTATTCCTCTTGCTCGGTTTCTTGGCTTGCTTGGCTGAAGCCTAAACTTGCCTTCCTGGCGGGCAAAATCAGCTCGGCGAGGAACTCCAAAGAAGGTGAGCAAGGTCCTCTTCGCGACTTCCTTCTTGGCAAGCAAGGTCAGCTTGGCAAGGAACTACAAAGAAGGCGAGTAAGGTCCGCTCCGCGACTTCCTTCTTGGCGAGCAAGATCAGCTCGGCAAGAAACTCCAAGGAAGGCGAGCAAGGAACTCCAAGGAAGGCGAGCAAGGTTCACTTCGCAACTTCCTTCTCGGCGAGCAACATCAGCTCGGCAATGAACTCCAAGGTCGGCAAGCAAGGTCCGCTCCGCGACTTCCTTCTTGGCGAGCAACATAAGCACGGCAAGGAACTCCAAAGAAGGCGAGCGAGGTCCGCTTTGCGACTTCCTTCTTGGCGAGCAACATCGGCTCGGCAAAGAACTCCAAAGAAGGCGAGCAAGGTCCGCTCCGCGACTTCCTTCTTGGCGAGCAACATTAGCTCGGCAAGGAACTCCAAGGAAGGCGAGCAAGGTCCGCTCCGCGACTTCCTTCTTGGCGAGTAACATCAGCTCAACAAGGAACTCCAAAGAAAGCGAGTAAGGTCCGCTCCGCGACTTCCTTCTTGGCGAGCAAGATCAGCTCGGCAAAGAACTCTAGTCTTTCCATCAAAATGATTGTCAATTGCCCTTTTTCCTCGGCCTTCTGACTGACGTCTTCCAAAACCAAACTCCCTAGATCTCTTCCACGGTTGTTCGCACCGCCATCCTCTGAGTTTTCTGTCGGGATAAAGCATCTCGGCTAGAGCCTTGAGTTGAGCAAAACATCAACTCCTTTTGCCAGAGTAAACCATCTCGGCTGAAACTTCAGAGTTGAGCCAATCATCAACTCATTTGGCCGGAGTACATCATCTCGGCTGAAACTTCAGAGTTGAGCAAATCATCAAGTCATTTAGCCGGAGTACATCATCTCGGCTAAAGCTTTAGAGTTGAGCAAATCATCAACTCATTTCGCCGGAGTACATCATCTCGGCTGAAGCTTCAGAGTTAAGCAAATCATCAACTTATTTGGCCGGAGTACATCATCTCGACTGAAACTTCAGAGTTGAGTAAATCATCAACTTATTTGGCCGGAGTACATCATCTCGGCTGAAACTTCAGAGTTGAGCAAATCATCAACTCATTTGGCCGGAGTACATCATCTCGGCTGAATCAGAAAAGTTCTTCAGCAAAAGTAATTCACTTCTATTACATTGACAAAGAGAGTATCACATTCAGAAGTGTAAGGGAAACAAGTTCTTCCTCAAAAAATTACTTAAGAACGATAAGAATATAATAGTTTGAGGTTAGCCGCATTCCATGGCCGGGGTACGCCTTTGTCATCCAAATCTTCTAAGCGGTATGCCTCCTTACCCGCCAGACCGGTTATCTTGTAAGGCCTTTTTGTCTGTTGCCACCGAGGTTGTCTTTGCGGTGGACGCCGCTGCATCATCCTTTACTCGGATGTGCTCATTGATGCCCTGCACTAGTTGCCCCATGGATGGCGGCTGGTTCATTATAAGCGAGTCCTTCAGCCTATGTTCGACCGGGAGACCGCGCTTGTATTGGGTGATTGCCAGGTTGACCAGGCAATCCAAGATCTCGTTGAAGGTTTCCCAATATCTGGAGTTGTATGCCTTCAGTGTGTCGCTCAGCTCCATCTTGACACTGAGAAGGTGGTCAACTTCCTTTGGCGTTTTGGTGTTGGTTTCGAAACGCGTCACAAAGGCTTCGGCCAACTGCTGCCACCTTTCTATGCTCCCCTCCGGCAGCCTCTCAAACCATTTCAAGCCCAGCTCGCCCAAACTTGACGGGAAGCTAAGGCACATAAGAGCATCATTCCACCTATGTCCGGCCATGACCTGTCGGAAGTGGCTTACATGCATATAGGGATCGGTTTTTCCGTCGTAGAGCGTGAACTTAGGCTGGTGGAAGCCCGTGGGAAGCGGTGTTGTTTCTATCTCCACGGAAAAAAGGGGGTGGCACTCAACCTTGCCAAGTCTGTGTCTTGAAGAAGTGGCACAGCTAGGCGAGGTGGAGGCATTCCGGCCTCTTCACTGGCATGAACCCCATAAGATAGCCACTGGAACGCCGGCACCCTCTGAGCCTCCAGCCGGCAAGCCCGTTCCTTCAAGACTACCCGCAAATCCTCTGAACGAGCGGAATAAAAATACATCGACGTCGTCGCCGGACGTGAAGGTTGATAGGTGCTGTCTTGCGCGCTGGACTTCTCTACGTGCGCGTCGGAATCTCCAACCTTGTAATTTCTGGTGATTGAGATGGACGGAGTACGCCGCTGGCTCTGACTGAATGAACGGTGGGGTTAGGTGCGCTCACTGTGGTCTCCCACTCCAACTACACCCTTTCCCTTGATATGTCGCTTAAGATCCTCCATCTCCGCCGCCATTCTCCGGATGACGGCGTTTTGGTCCCTTAGCTTGTGTTCCAGTCGCCTGGCGTGCGATTCTCTTCACCGTCGGTGACAGTTTGGACTCCGTGAATGTCCAAAGCTTCTTCCGTGCTTGCCGCACGCGTCTCTTGAATGTCCTCTTAGAGAAGTTTCCAGGTCCGCCGTAGGAGGAATGGCAGGATGTCCTTCTCTCCGTCTGCCTGACTCCGGGGTAACTCCGTCGATGGCAAACAACGGAATCTTGTCGTTGTTCGCCATGGACGGCGATTAGATGAGCCTGGAAGACAAGGTTTTTTCTTTCAAAGTTTCCACAGACGGCGCCAATTGTACGGGGAGCAAATATTCCGGCAAGCCCGTACTCCTTTCTTCCAAGCTCATGCCTGTCCGATCGACCTGCGAGCACAACAACGATGAGCTACCCGACGATGTGTGACCGGAATACTCCTCTGACGATCAAGTTAGACACACACAGGGATAGAGAGAGAGAGAGAGAGAGGATTGAGTGTTTAGTGTAAATCTCTCCAAATGTTCATCTGTCTAGGCATGGGGGCGTAGACTCGCTTATATACCTTCTGCGCCCCAAATCTACTCTCATTAGTCTCTCGACACGTGGTGCTGCTATCCCATCTGTTAGCACAAATCCAACAATCACCACTTAACCAAACTGTTAGGATACCTCGGCGGAGCTCGGCAGACTAGCGGAACCTCCTCGGTTTCTCCTAACCGGGCTGCGCGGCATACCTTAATGAACCATTCGCTAAGCTCCTGTACAACCGAACTCGGCTGCATTCCGGCAAGCCGAGCTCGAGGTAGGTTGAGTCGGTTAGCCGTCGGTCTTCCTGCCGAGCTAGCGCATGAACCGTGGAACCCATGGAGACAAGCAGACATCTCGACCGAACTCGCAGTAGACCGGCTTCCGCACCGACAAGCCAAGTAGATCGATCCCACATGCCCTGTGCCTTAACCAAGCAAAACCCTTCCGGACAGGCCCAAGCTACCATGGCCCAATTGTGTTCGGCCCACAATTTGCCCGGTCATTACCACGGCCCAATTCAGCTCATAAATCTCCCTCTTAGTATACATACTCTCATAGGCCTTCCCAACTTATGAAACTTATAGATGCCCTCGCCCCTGCTTCCCTTTTAATGGTTAAGTTGAGTTTTTGACGATTTATGCCTTGTTTTGCAGTATAAAATTGAAAAGTAGTTGTTATTTTTATATATTTACATGTATTTATTGCCATGTCTCTGTTGTGCCATTTCCTATAGTTTTTTGAAAATTATTGTGTTGTTGTGGTCATATCATATTGCATGTGTATGTGCTTCTTTAAAAAAAAAAAAAAAGTTAATATTTTCATGCGTACATATAAAAATATATATGTATTTGTTGTTATGTCATATCCTAATTTTTAAAAAATTGCCATGTTCGCATATCTATATCATATCGTATCTATATCCATGCTTCAACTGATTCATAAACACAATACTCAGACGATTGATCTTCATACTTTGCTTTTTTGCTTCTTGTATGCTTCAATGCCTTTGCAGTGGGGAAATTTGAAATAGTTGCGAGAGGGCAGGCAAAGTTCTTTAAATTTGGAGTAGTTTCATCCAATCTTTTCCTCCTAAAATATGTCAATTTATGTGGCTTTGTTTTTGTCTATGATGCATGTTTTGAATGCTTGTTATTTTTGTGCCAAGTTAGGTACTTTGTGGATGAGGTGAAGGACAAGAGTGGAGAAGACATTGAACTCAGGAAAATGGGTCTGTATGCCTTTCAAATTATTATTATTTTTTATAACCTTTCAAATTGCATCGCATGAAAAGTTGTAGATTAGCAAAATGGACATCTGAGAAGAAAATTGTTGTAGTATTATCATGCAATGGATTATCTTGCCAAAAGCATATATTTTCAGAAACAAATGTTTTGAGAAGATATACATGTGTTTAAGATGATTTCAAATTTTTAGAGTTGTCTATTTTATGGTTGTATGCACAAAGAACTTTTCATCTATTTGGTTATATTATCATTGGATGGTCAATGACACCCTTTTGCACTGGAATTGGTTAAAAGGGAAATTTTTGAGAAAGCTCGCACAAAAACAATACAATGAACGCGTTTTTTGCAATTATGAAAGACAGTGATGATGAGATTCTAAATAGGAGGAATTCTACTTGTTTATATAGAGCCTCATCATTGTATTGTGATGATATTGTTTAGAATCTCATCATCACATCAATAGGGACGCGCTCTTCTCCAGGGCAAGCGTACAGATGTGATGATAGGGTTGATGTGATGATATTGTTTTCCTACATCCCAAACACCTTTATGTGTTTTGTTATGATTTCTGCATGAAATCTTCCACAGTAGACTGTCGCTGTAATACCAGTACTGATGCATTGACCTTCATATCAGAAGATGCAAGTATGTCTCCGATGATCCCTAATTCGTCCATATAGCTCCAATCAGTGAGTCCGGTTACCAGCGGGGAATCACTGTCAAGCCTTCTCCCCACCAACATGAAATCATAATGGTCCTCGATTGCCAAAAGCACCCGAGAAGTCTCAACTCCATCTTTCACAATCACTTCACTATATTCGACATCCTGGTTCTCTCCATACATGTTCCTCAACGCGTTTATCATCTTCAAATCAAGCTTAGCTTCCATCAAATCGCTAATAAACTCGTCTTCTGCAATTAATCGAATGACAGTAAGCCTGGTTGCCTGGTTTTCTACCATTCTTATGCCATAGGCAAGTGCTTCCCGGGAGTCTGGCCCTCCCACGAATATTACACAAACGTGGAACTTGGTCCGGCTATGTGAGTCTAACTTCCAGTTCATAACGATCCTTTTGTCGATGAGGAGCCCAACTGAGCAAGGGGCCTTTTCGAGAACATTTTTGGTCACTCCCCTTACTGCAGTGCTCTCTGACTTGTGAAATGGAATGATCAATAGGGACGCGCTCTTCTCCAGGGCAAGCGTACAGATGTCGTCGTACATTGTAGAGTAAGGCGTTATCGAGGTGAAGTGATAATGTTTTATCGTCCCTTCACAGTTTAGCTCGTGGTGGTGCAAGGCATTGATGATTCGGTCCGTTCTGGTGTGGGATGACGGCGATCGAGGCTTGTGGAACTGGTGGTTAATGAGCACAGGGTGGTCGCGACCTACTAGTTCCATGAGGTCAAGGACAAATGCTCTGATGGGTCGTTCGTGGGTCGGGTGGGAGACATTGAGGAGGTTCAATAGGCTGAAAACTTGATCTTCTTCGTGGATACAGAGGACGATTCGAAACTCGCTATCATGGATGGATTGTTGGATTGTTCTTCTCTTGTAATTCATGTATCGCTTCGAAGGATTGTAGAGATGGCAAATCACAGGAGTAGCAATGGCTGCATTCAGTACTGTCATGATCGTTATGATTGAGTAAATGTCTATTTCGATTAACTGCATCACCATAAACTTGTTGTCAAAAGATCAAAATAAGAAGAAGAATTACATTAATATTTGATCTCCAATTTATTCAATTTGTAGTTAAATTTGTTCACATAGTCATTTTAATTTTTGTCAAAATGACACGAGAACCATCAACACAAATTAAGGTTATGAATCAAATTGAAAAAATTAAAATATCAGCATCAAAATGAGAACTTTTGATTATTTTTTCTTTTCTTTTGGGTGGTGGATATGTAATAGTATATCAGTTGTGCTATGTACATAAAAAGAACCATACATAAAATGCACAAATGTAAGACAAAAAAATTTTACATCTGTCGCTTCTATAGTTGTAAACATTTATATTTCATATATGTACATTATGTGTTTTGTTTTTTCACCTAAACTTTTTCATATAATAATAATAATAATTACCTCATAGCGCATGTAGACTTTGTAAAAGAAAATATCAAATAAGCCTTGGGAGCTCAAGATAAGGCCAAGAGTGAAAGAATCTTTGTAAGGCAACTTGTAAATCACCAATGGCACCACAGAGGCAACAAGTTTCCCCAAGAAACTCACCATTATCAGTACCCCTGTCCGACCAAATGTCGCCATATTGATAGTATACACATCCACATACCGACCTGCATCCACTATATACGCAGGCAACAACACGGCTGATATGAATATCTCCAATTTCTCCAATACCCCTGCTCCCAGTGGTGGTCCTGGTGGCATCACCAGCCCCAGGATCATCGCCCCGAAGTATGCTTGGTATCCTAAATACTCGAATGTGAAACAAATCATCAAATATATCACAAAAATGCTTGCGAATTGAGATTCTTTTATGCTCCCACCTTCTGGGATCTTCTTCATCATCCTAAACATGAACGGTCGAAGCACGAAAATTATGGTCATTATCAAGAGTAGTCTAGGAAGCTGCGATTGGAAGTATGCCCCGGTGGTGAAGTGAAACGCGGAGGCTTGGTAGAGGAAAGTTCTGGTGTTTCGAAAAGTCCAACAGCTGCATGAGCTTATTAAGGAAGACGACATGGCGAGGCGGCCTATCTCGGAGTTGAGGAGCTTGACGTCTTCGAGGAGGAGAGAAGTGACTTGGAAGGAGGTGGATGAGGTGAGGCCGGCTATCCATTGTTGGTTCTTGTCGGGATCATTGTTCATGATGCTGATAGCGGCAAAACTGAATGTCAATGGAGTTAAGAAGGTAAGGGCACCGATAATCCAAGATAATTTTCCAGAGGATTTTATTACGCTGACGTCGGTGCGAATGCCAACGATGAAAGAGAAGCTGGCGAAGCCAAAGAGCTCCATGAAGCTCATTAGGTTTGTTTTGTTGATGGTGTGCAAGCTTTCATAGAACTCTCCCAAGCCAACCCATTTGAACATTGATGGTCCTAACAGTATCCCTGTCTGATCAAAAAAACCCAAAAGGGAACGCTCATTAATTAAAGTAATAGATTGTTCAAATTTAATTTGATAACTTAACGAGTTTAAAATTATATTTGAACTCGATTTGTTTACATAATGAATCAATTTTGAATGAATTTTTAACCAGTCGAGCTCAATCAGCTTGATTTTTTATCCAAGAATATTCTGGATAAGTTTTCAGATTATTTACTTGAAGTCCATAATACATTATTTAAATTTGCGGACCACACAATAATTTTTTAAATTTTTTTGTCTATACCCATATTTTTTTTGTTATTAATTATTATACAATAATACTAGTAGGTGTACAGAACTTATCCCACGTACATTTACTATTGCTGTATTTGGTTGGGGGATTTGAGGAGGAATTTGGAAAGGGAAATAAAAAAGGTAGGTGAAATGTGAATGAAATATGTATATATTTCACATAATTTCACACATCTTTTCCCTTTCATTCTCTAAATCTCTCCCCAAATTCCCCAACCAAACACACCATAAGGAAATCATATCATTGTGCGGCTCATATACGTATTACATGTTTGGCTCAATTTGAATTGGCATAATTGAATTAAGTTACTCATATGTTTTGATCTCTAAAAAATCCAAAATAAAAATAAGTAAATAAATGTTCAAGTTGTGTTCTGTGCATGTAATAAATGAATTAGTAAATGTTTCATAATCTCAATTCTTATCATATTTTTTCATTTTTAAACACAAGTGAGTTTGTCATATGTATGTTAATCGAGCAAACAGTATAAAAAATGAGATTATGTATAACATAACTCAACAAAAAAATAATGTTATACATAAATACGGATTTCTTACCTAATTTTCGCACTGCTCGTACACAAAAGCATAGATATTCAAGGTACATATTTATTAATGTCTATCCCCACCACCTTTGCGTGCAGTGGTAAGAAAATCTTATGAGAAATCCAGTTTTACGTATAATATCATTCAAAAAACAACATAACCAAATTTAAAAGAAAGACAAAAACAAATTTCAAATAAATCATGGAGCTTGAGTTTACCAACATCTCTGCAACAAATCTAGGTTGTTTGAGAGGCTTCAAAAAGTATCTCATCACTGAAGATAGGATGATTGTAAGCCCTATCTGTAAAAGAAGAAATGGAATAGGATAGGTCAATATTAGCTCATTCTTCCTAAACAAACCCTTCGAAGTCGATGCCGCAGATAAATATTGGCAGCTATGAGGAATACCCCAATGATTCAAAATGAACGGTAATTCAGTCTCTGTCGAATTGGGCATCGACATGGTCGATTTTTCTTTCTTTCTTTCTTTTTGCAGAATACAATCGTTCTGCCACCACCGGAGACGATGGAGGAGCAGAAGAAAAGGTGTTGTAAAGGAAATGAGAGGAAGACAGTTTTTTTTTTTAGGGTTTTTTGGAAGAATAATGAACAGAGAAGATTTTAGTCTCAATTGTCATCATTTGACATATTGGCCAAACTTGGGAAAATTCGACCAAAGTTCAGCTTCTCTTCAATTAGACTGTCTAATTTGGGTCATGTAATGGCTTGCCAGATAGGGTTCCATTTTAATTATCTACTTTTCTTCAATTTTTAGGTCATGTATATAATATTTATTAAAAAAAAGAAAAAGAGGGTTAAATTTATCATGTCCGTCTTAAAAAGAATTAATGGTTGTAAATATTCCATTTTTATCAATTGGGAGAGGATTTTGGATTGGATGGGGGATATTTCAGCCCGTGAGATTTATTACGGATTTTTTTTCAATGATCCGAATCGTTTACTTTGTCAGATATTTCGTATATATTTGATTCACACAAAAAATAAGATTGATCCACTAACTGCTACTTTTTCAATTTATTATTTTTGTCATCAAAAAAATGCACAATTGTTGTCCATTATTGTTTTTACCATCAAAAAAATGTAAAATTTATTTTTTAAAAATATTCATTTTTTTAGTAAAAAAATACGATTTTGTTGAATATATTTGATTATTAAATATAACTCAATGTATACACACAGATTTCGGAGAGTGAGGATGACAATGATGATGAGTCAGTGAGATTTATTACGGATTTTTTTTCAATGATCCGAATCGTTTACTTTGTCAGATATTTCGTATATATTTGATTCACACAAAAAATAAGATTGATCCACTAACTGCTACTTTTTCAATTTATTATTTTTGTCATCAAAAAAATGCACAATTGTTGTCCATTATTGTTTTTACCATCAAAAAAATGTAAAATTTATTTTTTTAAAATATTCATTTTTTTAGTAAAAAAACACGATTTTGTTGAATATATTTGATTATTAAATATAACTCAATGTATACACACAGATTTCGGAGAATGAGGATGACAATGATGATGAGTCATTGGATTCCTTTAACTGCGAGGTATTATACACATTTTATATTTGTGTGTGAACATGTCTTTTACTTTTTACATTTCTTCTTCACATATCTTACACATCATATCTTTTTTAAAATATATTTTAACTGTTTTAAATCTCGTTTTCACTGTCTGATTATGTTCTTTCAGGAACAACAGATGGCACCAGGACTCCGTTTACGGTCTCATTCAAGGCCATTACCTCCCACCCCAGAGGAAATGATGGATCCCCCAAGTGAGGAGGTCGGTACCTAACCCTTACCACCTCATAATGTGCAACCTAAGGACGAGTTGACTGCATCTACCTGAATTTTGGTTGGTAAGTTTGCAAAGTTGTTTTTAAGGTTTAACTTGCATTTGTTTACTTACTAACTCAATTAATATTATATCCTTACAACATCACATGACAGACGCGGTCGTGGCCCGACACGCGGCATACAGGCCCATCACATTGTCGAGAAGGATGGGAAGATATTAGTTCCTATACCTGAACAGTTTCGTGCACCAGTAGGAGACAACGCCTCCAAGCTAGTTTCCAAAATTGGTATAGAGGTTCGAACGCAGTTACCAGACCTGAGCGTTCGTAGGTGGAAGAAGGTGAATGTTGCTGATAAAGAACCGATGATCCAACGCTTAGCGATAATTATTGACAAACTCTTTTCATGTTTAGGCTTTGTTTCTTTGTAATTTTTATTTTTTTTTCATTTTGCAGGATTAGTTTGATCTACAAGGCAATCGGACTGAGGTAGCAAAGGCTTTAGACACATAGTTTGGTCGACGATTGAGTGGTTTTACCTATAAGTTGCACAAACAATACAAGCAACTTAAGGATGCAAAAGGGGAGGATTACGCGAGAAGCCACCCACCTGCAAGAGTTACTCTCAATTAGTGGACATCTCTAATTGACAAGTGGAATAGTCAAAAATTCAAGGTAAAATGTTTTATGTATGTTAATTGTCAAAAATTAAGTTTTTTGTTACTAATGTTATCTTTTCTTGTTTGTATTGGTGTTTCAATTGTGTAGGAACAAGTTTTATATAAATATGAGAAGAGAATTAATTAAATTATACATTTCAACCAACTACATACTCAAATTTTAACTATTTCAAGATGTTATTTCACTATAATTCTAATTAAAAGAATCTTCAACTCTTAAGATATTTTTATATCAAATTATAATTTGATAAAAATTTAAAAAGATGAAATGTTGAAAATTATTGTTTTTTCCATCAAAATTGGTGAAAAAAAAAACGGATAAGAATGAAAATACTTTTAAAATAACTATTTCAAGATGTTATTTCACTATAATTCTAATTAAAAGAATCTTCAACTCTTAAGATATTTTTATATCAAATTATAATTTGATAAAAATTTAAAAAGATGAAATGTTGAAAATTATTGTTTTTTCCATCAAAATTGGTGAAAAAAAAAATGGGATAAGAATGAAAATACTTTTAAAAATTGATAAAAATTTAATGAAAAAGTTAAAGTAATTCATATCAAATCAAAAATTTTATTCAAATTTAAAATCAAATTAAATAAAAAAAATTAAAAGAAAATGATAAAAGTTTGAAAATATTTTGAAACTTTCTTATTCATAAAGACTAGAAATCCGTGTGTGTATTATATTCGTATTGTACTTTTAGTTATGAAATTAAAATCAAAAGAAATGTAACTTCAATTATTAGATTAATAATAGAAATATCATATTAATTATTGTTAGATATCACTTCACTTCATATTTAATAATAAAATTATATATTTGTTTTAATTATAATTTTTAAATTTGTATATTTTCATAACAAGAAGAGGTATGTCATAACTCAATTAATCTCATTTAATCAGATTTAAATTTTTTTTAATACAAATTATTAAAATTGCACTAAATATATTTATATATATTTTTAATTTTTTTAAATTAATAATTTAAAAAGTTATAAACATAAAAATTAACTTATAAATTTCATATATATTGCAAGATAAAATATTAAATTATTTCAAAATAATTATAATTATTTTTTTTTAATTTATAGAGTCCCGTGTATTTTTAATTTCAATTCAAAAGTAGTTAAGATTTTAAATTTTAAATTAACATAATAATTACAAACCATTCATTTTAACTTTTAGCTTTTAGCTTTTAGCTTTTGGGAAGCACTAAAAACGTTAGATTTTAATTTTTTATCCATTTTAAATCACATCATTTCTCACATTTTTTATTCAAAAAATAATAAAATAAGTTAAAAAAATTAAAAAATTAATTTTTTACCAATTTTCCAAAATACTTAAATGATGTGTTTCCAAATTCCAATCTTATACATTGAAGTATAAGTCTCGTTTTCTAAATGTGTAATGGAAAAGCTTTAAATCCATCAAAATTAGCACGGTGTGTGTTATTGGTTCCAACTTCTCTCCAATGGGAAGAAAAGATTAGACCGGCTTATCAAGTTATTGTGCGTAAGGATCCTTTAGAGTTAATCTTCTAGAGTGATCTCCTAAAGTGTCTGATCGGACGGCTGAGAATAAAACTCACCAAACCGACGTCGTTTTAGTGAGTATTTTCAAAACAAAACAAAAAAATCAGATTCGGGGATTTCAAACTTCCCCCCATATGAAGAACTATACAGATAACGGCGAGAAGAAGCGAAACGAGAGAGCAAAGAAGAGTTAGAGAGGCCGATACCTGCATCCCGTCACCCCACCGTGGCCGTGCTGTCGTCGCCGTCGTGCCGTCACCACTGTCCTGCCGCCGCCGTGGCCGTTGCCCCTGCTCCAACCGATTGAAACGTATATAGGTATAGTTCTTACATGCAATGTTTAAATATATATCTTAATTTCGATTTTGTTTTTTTTTGGTCTCTTCTAAATCCATCCCAGATGAATTTCAATGAGCTGGTCTCTTCTAAATCAATCTCAGATGTTTTTTTTGGTCTATTCGATTTTGTTTTTTTTTTACACAACTTATGGTTCTTACTTATTTTTTTACAAAACCAAACAAAAGCAGTTTATTGACTTGAGTTTTAGAATTAAAACATATAATCATATCTTTGTAATTTTAGACATTTGGTACAAAACAAGAATGAGACTGGCTTCTGTCATGTGCGGAATTTCGGGTTACTGGTTGCAGTTGGGTATATATGTTAGATAATGTCTCAATGGGACCACATAATTAAATGTGGTGTTATCATTTATAAGAAGCCTACAATTTAAGTGATTCAATTTAGTTAATAGGCTTAAGGGTATATGTGTTATAGACCTAATGTGTAGATACTAGTTGTATAATTTCTATTTCTATGAGGGGCAGAAATAGAAATTAAAACATATTGGTTAAAGTTGATTTTCATTCCTTTTGAATTTCCACAACCTTTCAGTTATGAAAACCAATAAATAGAAATTAAAACCAATAATGGTTAAAGTTGGTTTTCATTCCTTTTAAACTTCCACAACATTTCAGTTTTGAAAACCAATAAATAGAAATTAAAACCAATAATGGTTAAAGTTGGTTTTCATTCCTTTTGAACTTCCACAACCTTTCAGTTTTGAAAACCAATTACAACCTTTAAAAGGTTATGGTCCCTATTCCTTCCCAAGTGGAAAACAAGTTTCTTTCTAAATCCTCTCAAGGAGAAACATAAAAGCACCAAAAGGGAAAGGATTAGAAGGCAATAACAAAGATT